ACTTTAAACCGCTCGACGAAGTTTCAGAAATAACTGGTGTTCGATGAATGTTTATGTAATCTTCGCTAGTTAAACTCTTCCTTCAAAAATTTTCTTCGCTTCACGCAGCAACTTTTTATGACAAAAATAAGTCTTCTCAACTGTTTTTAAATAACATGTGCATACTTAAATTATTGATCTACTACAATTTTCAGTATTCAAAATGCTCTTCTTTAAAACTTCTGAACCAGCCAAACAAGAAATTGCTAAAAATGGTATCACTGCTGTCTAATAAATTGTTCTTCAGCGTAATTCACCTATAAACTTCGAGTACAGATCCCATAAAAAAATTTTTCGTTCTCAATCGTTTGTCGAGCTGCGTAACAGAAATGTCAAGTCGCAGTTCGGGCTCTAAAACAGATCTTCGTGAACAGCCAACGCCATCTAGTAAAGCTGAAAACAGGACTCATTGACTGTCGACCCTTCAGCTGCTGAATAGCAAAAAAAGTGAACACTAAAATCATACGGTGATTTATAAGTCAAAATTTCCTGGAAAACTCATCTTCGCAGTAATTCAGCTAGAAAGCTATATTTAACGGCATGGTAAATGTGAAAACGAGTAGTACAAGTAGTTTTTATTCATGTAATCCATGCTGTTATGACTCATCTAAGAGTACCAGCAAGGCAAAATTTTTATGCTTTTTGTAGTAAACCAATTAAAATCTCTATCTACCCCTTAAATAAAAAAAAATTTTTTTAAAAGAAAAAGTCTTGGCTCAGAGTTGCAGAAGTGAATTTAAAAGATTAAGCCACTTATAACGACCTACATCTGCCATCTGTTGCATCTTAAATGCCGAAAATCGCCAAAATAAATCACTTACATGCAAAAATAATTATTATATTACTCGTGTGAAAAAAAAAGAGATAAGAAATTCAGGTATCACTTCTAAATGTGTAGTCGATAACGATTTTATAAAAGCGAGTCTAAGTTACTGTAGATTGAACACTACATTAAAGCAATTGAAGCAGTTATTTATGCACTATAGGCTTCTTTACTGATTATTTAACAAACCAATTTAGGTAATACTTTCAGTTCGATAATTCAGTTTATCAGTTTGTGGCAAATTCTTTTCGGCTATAGATAAAAACCACTAATAAAAGTTTCTAATAGTGTGCTGTTATCAAAAAAGTTTAAAGTTGTAAGCAGAAACTACAAGTGTAGAGGTGTAAAACTTTAAAAAAAATTGAACCGTTTATGACAAACAAAGAAATCCTTATTCCAGCACTCTATTAAACTTCATTTATAACTTCCATCAAAAAAAAAAAGAATTTTTTTTTTGAAAAAATGCAGAAATACAATCTTAATCAGATTTGACAATTTTTTTTAGATAATACTAAACAGAAAATTTTTGCTTTTCAGTCCGTTGACATCTTTGACAATGCTGTTCTTCTCAAGTAACACTTATACATTTAGATACAAAAACTTGTCTTTCTTAATCAAGGCTGCTTTCAAACTTTCCCAACTTTGATTCATTTGTGCAAAAAAAGAAGAACTTTTTACTTTTAGCCTCCAAAAAAGTGACAGTTTTAGGTTTTTATAAATTTTAAAAAGAAAAGTTTAGAGGGCAGAAAAGAAATGTTGAAGAATAGTTTTTTGCAAAATATAGGGTTACTTGCTAAAAACAAAGACAATTTTCAAATTCAGTTTGCTAAATGAAAAAAATGCAACATGGAAAATCCAGTAGACAACGAATGTGACAACGCTAAATGGTTTGAATTGAAAAGCAAAAATATGACTTAAGAGAAAGTCAGACCTGAATGAACGCTCCAGGAATTGCATTTCGATGTCGAATCCGAATCATCAAACGACCGTGTGGAACCAATTTCTACAAGTGCTGCTGACGGCGAATACAATGCACCATCCGGAAAACATCTGAAGCGTATAAAACTGTCGCCACTTTTTCGTTTCTCTGGATTCATCAACTATTAGTTTCTGGAAAAAAATAACATACTTTGACAACTACGAAAGAAATCCTTTTGAACGAGAAACGAAGTAGATACAAGAAATTTGAACTGATGTCAGTAAATTATTAAAACTGGAGATATACAGAAGGAAGAGTTTTCAATGACTGCAGTCTTTTTTTTGCAGATCTTTCCCTACACCTTGTCAGTGTTGTATGTGCAGTTCAGAGATTTACTTTTTTGCCTATTAGATAAAAATTTTTTATACAATTATCTAAGCAATGCAGAGGGTACAATTTGGTGTTTGATTTTCTCGGTCTTTTCTTCGCTTCCCCTGCTACAATCGTCATCATCATCATCGTTACTTAGCGAAAAGAGCTGTATCGACAGCGATCATCTACCTGTGCATTTCCTTCCGCCACCAATGGCAAAAATTAAAGAAAAATGTAACAGATGTAATAAATGTTTTTGGTACTGTGGGTTGTTCTTTGTTTGGTTAGGGTATTTGCTGATAGTTTTGTTGTCTGCTAGGGAAATAAACTGACAAGAGCTCTAAGCACCTTGAAATATCTGTCTCTATGTTTAGCATTTTTTTTTCTTTACATTTGATAAGGAATAAATATTTATTTATGTGAATACAGAGCTGAAAAAGACATCACATGAGTTGGTCATCAGAATGTGTAATAAGTATTCTCAAAGTTTTCAGAACAATTTCAGAACAAGAAGTTAGCCTAAAAGAATAAGTTCTGTTAAGCCTATATATTTATTTATTTATTTATTTTTTATAAATATTGTCTACTTCTTTTTTCCTTTAATCTTTTTCCTTTACATTTTTCTTTGTTTGCAACTTTTCTCTGTTTCTTTTAACAGCGTCTTTGTTCTTGTTGATATTAACTTGTAGTTCATCTTATTGGTACAAAAAAAACTGTTATCTCAAAGTACAACTTTCCAGTCATTTCAGAGCCGTAAAATAACCACTGTATAGCCTGCCAAAAAACAGAACAAATTTTTTTACCACTACAATACAAAAAAAAGTTGTTTATCAAAAGATAGAGAAATAAAAAAACGATATCTTCTTCAATCACTCTTCTTGCATATGACTGCAGCAACAAAGAAACAGTGGAAAGAATACCATAAATACCAAAAAGCCAAACTGGAATCCATATAAGCACTTAAAACAATAACAGCAGTCTCAGAAATGCAACAACAGTCTCATCAGCAAAAAAGAGAAAGATTTGAGAGTTCTTCCGATTGAAATCTTTAAATAGAGGACAAAAGCCCCGGAACAAGCCAATTAAAACACCGTTGAAAACTGTTGTCTGAGCAGCAGTAGCAACAGCGGTGGCAGCTGTAGTAACAGCACTAATAGCAAAAAGTGTAGGAGCTGTCCTGTTTAGACTATCAATTCCACCTAAATTCAACAATATGAGCATCAGATCCCAATTAATTAACCTTTTCTTATTTTTCTGCTCACTAAATTTTCTTTTTAAATCACTGAACAAAACATTATTTATTTTTTAAAAAGAAAATTTTTCAACAGCTTTTCAAGATTTTAGCAACTGTGGCACAGACAAACTAAGGCAAACATAAACGTAATACACATAATTCTTCTTAAGCTTTTTCTGTCGTTTGATGATCTCTTGTTGGCTCTAACAAACTGACAAAATTCAAAATTTAGAAGGAAGAACTACAAAAGCAAAAAGCGCCTTTTCTGTTCGAAATTTTTGCACTGCACTTGTGCACTAAAAGGCTTTGTCCAAAATTCCGAGGAGATACGAACAGCGAAAAACAAATGAAGGTTCAGAATTTCTTAGGAAAGTCAAATTTGAAGTTGAAACAGGAGGACATGCAACCATACGCCGACTCATTGCAAGCAAATACATGACTAAGAAATAATGGTAAAATAGGAACAAATCGACCTGTATTGGAAAAAAGTGACGTCAAAAAGGATTTCTTCAAATAAGTCAATAATGAACGAGATATTTATTCTACGGCAGCGCAACAATATGTCAGCTAAAGAAAAGTCAAATTCCGCAGCAAAAACCGCTCATTGTTTTTCCTAGCTTCTTAGCTTATTTGCATATCTTTGAGTGGCAACAAACAGAGCCCAAATTAACTACCTTCACTTTCGATACACTATAGAAGCCGGCGTCCCGTTATTCATTCTCACTACAAGTTTCCTTCCTTTTTTTTTATCTCTCTTCTCATTTCTTTTTTCCTCAATTTGCTTCCGGCTACTTAGCAGATAAATTTAACGTCACTTTCTTTACTTTTTAGTTTTTATTATCTTCATTCTGATTAAGAATTAGATTAATTAAAACTTCTACAATAACTGTACTCCACTGCTTAGGAAACGTCCAGTGAATACACAAATCCTACCGTTAAACAACATTCACTTTGATTGTGTAAGTCTGGTTCAGAACCAGTAAATGGCTTTGGAATTTCTAATGAACGATTTCCTTAAAAAAATTGCTATAACGGTTATTACGAAACAATTGCAGTACCCGTCTTCAATTGCTGTATCTCGTCATCAAAACACACTGATCTACAGTATATAACAAAATAAGAGTTGATTTTTCCCGGCTTACGTATTTCCACGTCAGAAAAGCCAACAAAAAAAAAGCGAAAAACTACGAAGAGGAAGACACAGTATGAGTGCTTACTTTGTCACCACAAATTAGAAAAGCAAAAAAAGTGGCTCTGAAATATTCACTATCAAAACTGATTTGCCCTCCTGTAACAAGCAATTCATAAAATAAAAAATAAGAGTATACGCTGCAGTGTACAAACTGGAACAGATCAAATAGTTTACTGTTAACCTAATACCAAATTAAAACATTCACGTTCGTTACTTTGCAAAATGATTGAATTTCTTCTTCAGAAAGGAAAACAAAAGAAAGTAAACAGAATGCAGTTTCTTGCTTACGAAAAAATTAGTCTTCTTAAGACACTAATAAAAGGAAATATAACATAGATTAATAGAAAAACTTTTGAAGCTAAAAATTCTAAAAATTCATTTTTTTCTTGTTTATAAAAAAACTATTCACTAGTTCACTCACTCAAGTAAAAGACGAATGTGAATAAGAGAAAAAAGAGTAATTAAAGACAAATCTTCGTAAAAAATGCAAAGTCTAGCAAACTGCTTTGTTTCTTTTTTGCAGCTTTATGACAAAAAATTAAGAAACTTTAAAAAACCAACTGTTTTTGATGGTATTATAATACATCTCCTGCTGATGTAGTTTTCCACTGCAGAATAACTGAGCAGATTTTAATTTGAAATTCTCAACGAAATCGGTAACGAACTAATCAAACGCAACTAACCGACAGAACAAGCCGGTTTTAGGCTGGTATACATCCAAAAAAGAAAAGTTGGCTCTTTTTAGATGGCTGTGGATATGTGTTTATGTTTATCCAACTGTCTATCCAAATCCCTCCTTTCAAAAAAAAAAAAGAAAAAAAAACCAATTTTATCTATCCTATGCAATGGAAAGTCTTAATATGTGCATCAAATATCCTCAGAAAAAAACTTTTAAAAAATAGTAAAAAGAAGAATAATTAAAAGAACAAAAAGATACAATAAAAGTAGTAACTTGTTCTCATAAAACTTCTAAAATTGTAGCATAATTAGCAGCATTTAGCGAGTACTCAACTTCAATTTAAAAAAGCGTGTTTATTAAGATGTTTTTTTAATCATTCAACTAATTTTTCAGAGTCCATGCTCGTCTCCTTCATTTTATCCCTTACTTTTATCGGTGCACCAATCCATATATCTTCCATCATTTTTGAGAGAACTTCCAGCAGATTTCTACAACAACGTTTCCCTTGACAAATTTTGAATCACTAACTCTGAAATTCTCACTAGCCTCAAACTCAGAATTTTTATTAGATAGCATTCAGACATGTAATATTTACTAGTTATTCATTCATACTGCTGATAATAAAAATCATAAATCATATCTGCTTTCAAACTTGAGACCCTTTGTGAAGCAAAAACCGCAAAAATTCTTATTTATAGAACTTGGTTTCTTTGCTCATCTTCAACCACCTAAAAGCCAAGCGTAAAATTAAAGCTTAACAAACTATAAGTCCATTTTTCAGATTGAACATCAGTGAGTAATAATGAAAAAAAATGGGCATCTTTTTACAACTGTTGAAACGTTAGGCTTTTCAGACAAACGCACCAGTCACTTGACAAGAAATTTCTTTCAAAATTTTTTTATTTCTCCACAAAAACTGCTTCAAGAAAGTCAGTTTCTTCTAAAAGCAAAGCTTACATACAGAATAAGTAGCGAAAAAAATGAAGAACGTGAAAATACCTAGCTTCTCTGATACAGAACTACAATTGTGTTATTATAAGCGAGCAAGCCAACTGGTATATTGAACTGGTCAACCAGGAAAAGCAAAAATTAATGAAAAGCCAGAAAAAATATTGGTTATTATAAACTAGAAATCAATTAAAATTATAAGCGAGAAGTTTCGCAAGTCCAATGTTGGAAAATAACAAAATAAAATAAAAAAAGAATAAAGAGGTGTACTGATATTAAATATATATATATATATATATATATATATATATATATTGTAATAATATAAAGAATAAGAAACCATAAGCAAAAATAGGAGAAGAAAATGCACTGACCATCGTTATCCTTCGGTTAATATTTAGCAAGGGAAGATGTTACAAGTAATCCAGGTTATACAATAGAAGCTCATAGCAGAAGCTCACTGAAAAAAATATTTGGTTTTCTATTCAGTCAGACATTTTCAGATGCTTCTAATGTATCGTGTATATTTTGCCGTATCTATATGTTTCAACAAATTTAGATTTTTATTATTGCTCTAATCAGCAGTTCGTCTTTCAAATCGGTTGATCAAAGCAGTAAACTGAAAAAAAAAGTCTATTGCAGTTACACAGTTTTCGCATTTGCCTTCATCTTAATGCCCTTCAAGTACAGCCAGTTGATTTCAAAAACGTTCTTTTGAATAAGTCAAAAATTCACAGATTTTTTGCTAGAGTT